AGTGGGAAAATGCTGCAAACACTCTGTGGAGTGGTTCCTCAGGCCTTTTCCCACCCGAAACAGGCGGTGTCAGCACCACTCTGATTTCCAGAAAATGAGCTGGCAAGAAGCATCCGCCATATCGCAGGCAGGAGTTAGGAAGCTCTCCCACCCACTGTGCTTCCTACATAAGCTGTCCGCGGCCTACTTTCGACCCCAGAAAATGATACAGAAACATGTGAGTCACACACCTTTACTCAGTCTTTTCCTCAACAGCAATAGATTTTTTGAAACAGATCCCAGCTTACAAATAATGCCACAAGCTTGCCTGTTCTAAGCTAGCAAATGACCCAACGAGACATTCTAGACAACAGCTCTGTGGGTGCACATTTTCAGAAATGCTCAAATGCTCACAGCTATAAACTACTGTGGTGGAAGCAGCTAATTTCCTTAAAGGAAGAAGATGGAGCAAAGGTAAAAGCTGGAACGTACGGACAGAGGGTGACTTTAGAAAGTGTTTTGTTTCTAGACAAGCCTGTTCATAAAACATAGCCACTCAAAGACACTAAGGGACGAGTTCCTAGTTTTTTGAACGTTGTGTAAACTCTGGTCGGAGGAAAGCAGACCCCAGCTCTGCTCTGGGCACTGAGCAAACTCACTCCATAATGACAACAAATGCTTATTATAAGCCAGGAAATACGCTAAGGACTTTAAGTAAATTCACAGTTAAGCTTTCTCACGTTATTAACCCTATTTAACAGCTGAAGTTTGAGGTGAAGTTTCCCAATCTAGCCCGAGGTCACACAGCCCCTAAGTGTGCTTACAATAAAACATCAGTTACAATATTTGAAGTGTGCCACACACTTTCGGCTTTAAAATCCTGCCCCCCCAGATTTCCAGCATTATCCTTTCAGTAAGGAAGACCATGACCATGACCAAAGACGAATCACGCGGCATGGAGGCAACTTGGAAATGAAGATCTGAGCCTGTGCCCATCGAGAGTCGTCCAGTTATCCTGGTGCTTAGGGGCAGAGAGCATGGAACAGAACTCTTAGTCTTCTGTTCCACAGCCAGAATTTTTACATCTGCAAAAAAATGTATCATGTTCCTAATGCAGAGTCAAAAATGCAGTTGGGAAAATTAACTGTAGAAGAGGCGGCATGAAGGGTGGCTAGCGTAGTAGAGTTGACTGTCCTCCAATTACAATGCAAACTTAGGGGAATAAGTGGGTCTAGTTACTGAGTTTATGACCTAAGCACTCAAACGCACACGAAATGCACACTTATCCATTAGAATGAGGTCCCCTATTTTAGTGGAGGGATTAAGCTCTGGCCTAAGCCTCTACACTGAATAGCAGTGGGCTACCGATTTTAGTCCCCCTTCCTGAGCCGAGCAGGCACCCTTCCGGCAACAGGAAACGAGGCTCCATGTGTCAGCACCTTGGGCACTCTGGATGGTGTGTCTTGGAAGTCGGCCGCATTATTTATAGTGTTTGGCTAGCAACTGCAAACACGGTAGAAAACCATCTTGCTGTTTGGAGGAAAATTAATGAAGTGCTTCATGCACGAGCAAGAGGGCGTGTCACAAAATAGAGGAAAAAGATCTTTCTTCGGGACACACTCTGTCGCTACTGAGGTAGAATCTCGGCCAGGCCCCCGCCCTTGCACAGAGCTGAGCTGTCTCGCTAAANAATGTGGATGGACCTTGAGGGCATCATGCTAAGTGAAATAAGCCAGACACAGAAAGACAAACACTGCAGGAGCTCACTTATATGTGCAATTTAGAAATGTTGAACTCAGACTAACAGCAGAATAGCGGCGGGAGGGCTGGGGCAAATGGGGAGATGTTCGTTAGATGATAGCAAGCATTACCTGTTGCACAGTTCTGAAACTACAATAATTTTAATAGTTGTGCATAACTGTTTTTCTAATTTGGATTCTAAAAAAGTATTCTTATCCCTAAAAGGTTAAACAATGAACGGTAAATTTTTGGTTTGGTGATCAAGTACTTGAGAGCAAACTGCAGCATATGAAAGATCCCCCCTTTCAGGTTTAGCATCTTAGAGAAATTAATACTATTACTGTCTTCATCAGCTGTGCATACATCCTATAACTGGAGAAAAAAACATGGTGTGAGGGCTTTTTTTATCTCTCTTTAGGAAAAGGGGCAGCCGCCACTAGTATTTTCTGTGGAATTCAACCCACTATTAGTATTTTCTGTGGACTTCAACCATCCTTTTGGATAAGAGGGTGGCCTAGATTGTGTATTTTATGGTCACACTTTCTTAGTGCCCAAAGAATCTCAGGATCTCTTCTCACTTTAAAAACAAAATCTAAATTTTATGCTGCTGATCAATGGAAAAGAAAGACCTTCGGAACCAGCAAATATCCATAAGAATATACATGAGCCTCATAACACTCACCAAAGAGTCATATTTACCAGGAGGCGTACTGAGTGGAAATATACGGTTAAGGCAAAAAGTTCATGACAAACACTGCAGGCTGTTAAAGGGACCTCTGTGATGCCCGAGTCGCAGGAAGTGACCTAAGGCAGCAGTCATGGTTCACAGAGGAGGATGTCGCAATGCCCTGGCCACAGATTATTTTTTAGAGAAGGCCTGGAGCCTGGGAAGGAACTCGGGGACAGTCTGACATTTCGCAGCGCAGGCTGTGTGGATGACCACCGAGGAAGGCTTTGAAGGAAACAGCTAATGGCCTGTCGACCACTGCTCTGCTTCTATATAAATCACGGGCCATTAAAGCAGGTGTTGGGAGATGGAAAGCAAAATAACAGAAAATGAGCCAGTTTTTAGAGTCAGGCCTAGGGACAAGTCTCAATGCTGTTACCAGCTGAGTAATTCTGAGTAAACTTCTTGACCCATCAGAGCCTGTTTCCTCAGGAGTATAATGGGGATAAAACCACCCACTTTGCAGGGTTGCTGGGAACATGGAGTGAGATCATATACGAAAAAAATTCAGTTCGATGCCTAGTGTACAGTCAGCTCTCTGTGAATATTACCCTTTCTCCTTTTCCTTTCGTATGTAAACCCTTGGTTTTAGTAATGCTAGAGAAAACATGTATTGCAAAACCTCTCTTGGTCACAAACTTGGGTAGAATGGAATTAGTAAGAGGAAGAACCCTCTGGGTCTGCAAGAGGCCACTGGACATTCTCGTGTGCGCACGTTGCGTGAGAAGGGGTGAAACACCACCACCATTTCAGGTTTTCCTGAGGCACTCCGGTATGAAATGCAGGTCAAGCCTAATTTGGAGAGGATGCTTCAACTTTAAAAAACTGTACCTATCTAGTCATCCTGAAGAAACTGGTAAATCTAGCACCAGCCATTGGTATGAACAACCTCCTAAATGGAACAAGAAGGTAAAACACAGGAAATTCTAATTCTGCTTAGGAAGGAAAATCATTCGATTCAGTGAGCGGAAGTAGCCACCTGTCCGCAGAGGTGGTAACATCCAAAGAAAAGCTGTCATGCCCCTAGGAGGTAGTAAGCAAGTGTTTCTTCATAAAGACTTTCCAATTTTTAAGATGCTTTTTACTATGAAAATTTTCAAACATACAGAAATGTTTAATTTAACATTACGTATGTATGCATGACACTTTTTTTGGTGATTATCAATGATTCAAATTTAAAGCTGGAACTTAGAGATATTATCTAATTTATTTCTCTCAGACGAAAGCAATATACAGAGGGTGCCAAAAAAATGTATACTCATTTTAAGAAAGGAAAAGGGCTGTGTTAAAATTTTAATGCTCAATATATACTGATAACAAAAGATGAATACAAGTCATATGTATACATTTTTTTGACGCCCCGGTATTCTCAGAGATATGCATGTTTGGGAGGGGGGTGGGGGGACTGTAGAAGTCCTTACAATGAAAACCTCAAAAATCACAGTGGAAATTATCCAAATGGTTATTTATTTTAAAACCCGATTAGCTTCCCTGTTCCTAAATAGTAACTTCAGAGAAGGGCAGGGTGTGTGGACTTTTTTCCTTTACGGAAGCCCTAAGACAGTGAGTCCACCATGAGTAATGATGACAGGAATCCAGAGGCCCATAAACCTTTCCAAGCTTCTGGAAGACAATGAGCACGAGGAAAAGGGCTCGGGAAGGCCAGATGGACACGTGAAAGCTGCTCAGGCCAAAATGAAAGTGCCTGAAAGGTACCTTCACGGAGGCTTAAATACGATCTGGACCAGAGCCCCAGGATGCCACGCCTCCGTTCTTCCATCGTAACTCTGAACCCCAGCATCGTCGCACTCTCTTAGAGAATGCAATCACCCACTAACACAACCGCTCCCATCACCCCTCCAAAGTCTTCACAGCTGCCATAATGTGTCTGCCCCTTCACCCCTGGCTATTAAAGACAACCACTTGTGGCATAAAACTGGCAACTCCTTCTGATTCTGCTGTGGGAAAGCCCTCTATTCTTCTTAGGAAACAAAGCAGAACTTGCTGCGACGAGGTACAAACATAAGCAAAAGAAAGCAAGCGCCCCCATGCCCACCCTCTTAGAGGACCTCAAACTAGGTGAAAACACGAGCTGATTCATGTGTATAGGCTTGGCTTTTTGCTGGACAGAAAGCTTGGGTTCCCTAGTAGAGATCTACTACAAAGCTCCAATTAAGCTGCTTAACATCACCAAGCTCAACAGTGAGCTTCAGGCCTAAACACATTAATCAGAAATGACTCTATGGTTAGTTTATACACATGACATCATGTAGTCTGAGCTGCGGTCCTTCCTGCCTGCTGAGAAGCACTCATTGTCATCTGATTTAATTCACACCAAAGGAACTTCCATTTCTTCAGGCTTCAATGTGAGCATTAAAAGCTGCATGTCAACAGTCAGGACTGTGCAGAAAATAAAGTGGCCAATGCCTTTTTCTAAGGCCCCAGAGACCCGGAGCGTCCTTCTCTGAGAGGGAACATTTACCCTTCTGTAAGATCACGTAAGAGTTAGAAGCCCAGCCTCCCAGCGGGAAGCACATACTGAGGCAAACAGTACCTTGGAGAAGATGATCCTGTCCACGTCTTCACTGGGTGAGTGAAAGAGGTCAGAGTCACTCCCAGAGTCTCTTTTAAGCACACCCTGTTTGGAAGCACACTGTTCACCCAGTCCAACATCCAGGAAGTTTTCACATTCTGAAAAAGAAAATTCATTCAACAATACTTTAAAAAAAAAAATCCGTTTCTTTTCATTCCAGCAATCAGCCTTTCAAATCAACCAACGTCCATCCCTCCCCGCCCTGCCTCCCATCCTTGTAACATGAAGAAGCTGTGAAAGACCCAGTGAAATTGGTGGCTTTCAGCTCTGCTATGCCAAATCTAAGCTGACAGTTACTATACAACAGCCATGAGCTTGCTATATAAACCACAGGTCCACAAAGATTAAATCTTTGCCTCCTGGCAGTTAGAGAATTTTTTTTTCTTTTTCTAACAAAATCAGAAGTCCTTTATTAGGAAACTATGTGATAGGCTTTGTGGCTCATTTCTGTTCTGTCTGCTTTCCGGAAATGTGTTACTTTATCAAAAGACGGAGATAAATGACAAAAGGGGAAACAGTTCACATACATGTCAGTGTATTAAACTATGGGTTCTACTGAATAGTAACAGAAATATAATTACTGAACGTGTAGTGCCTAAAGAGAGCTGACACTGGGAGGATGACGCACTGAAGAAGCAACGTGTCATGGAGGTTCCGGTTTGCAGCTCAGTAACGGGGCTCTGGTGAACCAGGTGGAGAGGCCTTGACAGAAATACTGTGTCACTACATGAAGGAATTCTAAAGGCTCGGTATCGTCAAGTCAGCAAGGTATCCCACCCATTCTGTTCCAGTAACTTTGCAAACGAAAGGGACATGTGAGCTGGCAGTTGTAGAGTTAAAAATATTTGTATATGGTGAAACCAAGAACCCAAAGACAGTCAACAGCAGGTAGATACCAGCCTCCTTCAATGGGTTTTGAAGACAGGAGTGAAGCACCTCCATTCTAGCCAGCATTTTTACAAGAGATTTGGACATTTTTTGCATGTGTTTCAAATCTGTAGGTGACACCACGTGAGGAGGGACAGAGATCCCTACCTAGCAGCTCATGAGAACTCCATCCACCTGGAGGTTTGGGCTGAAAGCAAATTCAAGAGGGGCTGACAATCCGAGGGGGTGGCAAAACAAACAAAAACCACTCGCAGTTTTAGGTTCTATTGATAGTACCCAAATCCAACATGGGGACACTCCTGCCACTCTGTGACAGCTAGTCCACGCCCATAGGACTGCGTTTGCTCCTAGATAACATTTAAATTAAAACACATACACAGAAATGAGGTCACAGCGGCGGACACACAACATACATGGAGCCGCTAGATGAGTGTGAAGATGGCCGTCTGCGGACAGGTGCCCATCTGCTCTGCGCTGCTCCTGGCGCAGAACAAAGCACCCCGAGAGGAGGCGCAGAGCCTGATGAGGACCTAACGGGACCTGTGGGCAATGGATTGGCCGCCTCATAACCAAATGAGGGCTGCTGCTTCGCCAGAAGGGCTGGAACTTGAATGACGGTGTCAGAGGTTTCGGAAAAGATGTCGACACAGAAGGGGAAGTGAGGACTGGACTGGATTACCAGCACCCAGGTCTCTTTTAATTCCTGGAGTCTCTGCTTGGATGCGTGTGTGTATATTGAGAGATAACGAGAAGAATGTTCTTATCTCAATTAACCAATAATGCATCATCGATAAATTAACTAGTAATTCATCAATAATAAATTATTTGCCCTGGATTAGCTGCGAATCTTAGAGGAAGGGTCAAAGAGGCGCTGCATTGGGATAGCTCATGAATTGCTTGTCCCTAAAATTACCTGTTCTGTTAGGCTCTTGACTGCATACTTGGGAATGTCCAAATAAAAAGAGGGGTGGGGTGTGTGTGTGTGTGTGTGTGTGTGTGTTTTGGAGGGGAGGAGGGGAAGGGGTGCAATCTTACAGTAGATATGGACACATTAAGAGACAATTTCAACACAGAAGTACACAGAGGATGCCACAGAAAGTGACGCTGGGCCCACAGATTAATCTGACCATGTTTCAGTTAAAGAAACAAATGACCTTGGTTCATTTCATCTTGGTCCAAACTATTTCTGAGTGTGCTACCTTTGATGCGAATAGTCCTGCCTTTAAAAGACTGGAAATCGGGTATTCTGGAAGGTCCCCCAATTCATCCCTGCCCCCGCCACCCCCCACTTCCTGGCCATTTCAGACAGTATGTACTACCTTAGGTGGAACTGGTGGGTGTGATCTTTCTACTTCTTCCCCTTTTTCCCCTGGAAAAATCAGAAACTCCATTCCGTGGTTGAGGGGAAAATAGGGGGGCTGGCCAAGAAAAGAAAGGGCTGTCACAGCAACCATGCTGAGCTGCTAGCAGTCCAGCTGGCAGACTAACAGACCACGTCCAAATTCCAGGCTGGAAAACAAGCCAGCTCAAGACATTCTCCCGGAAAATTCACAGGGAAGATGCAGACTCAGGACTCGCAGAACACCTCACCCAGAACAGTCATCCAAGCACTACAGGGACCAGAGACCAAGGGGGGATGAGCGCGCTGTGTGCTCTAACGTCGAGCGTTGAGTTGAGGAGAAGGCGAGGGCATGGAAACAGGGACAAGGAAAAGGAAAGAACTTTAAGCCATTATGAAACCCACACAAACGGGGGAACCCTGAACGCAAAGCTAATCTACACCCAAGGTCACATGTGCTGGTAAGTTTTCAAAAGGAATGAAATCTCTCCTTTCTTCCTACATGCCCCCTTCCTAATGAGTAGAGCAGAGCGCCATATGACGGTATAAGGCACTGGTTTTCAGAGTCAGACTGTGGGGCTTAAATCCAGGTCTGACTACTTATTAGCCGAAAAAGCTCAAGCAGGCAGTAATCTAACCCCTCTAAATCCCCATTTCCATACTAGTGAAATGGGATGGTTAGAACCTTCCTCAAACAGCTGTAGTGACAGTTAGAAATAATTTATACCTAGAGCCCCTGGGGCTCTGTCCCTCAGCACACAGTAGGTGTGTGATAAACACGCTTCATGACGTTAAGGCTTCATTAACCTATAATGTGTGACTCAACAAGCACCCTGTAAAACATTACCTTGAGGCAGAGTGTCCCATTTTATAACCCATCTATAAATCTGTCAGTAACTTTTGTGTCCATTTGCTTTTTATTTATTTATTTTTTTTTTAAGCTGAGCCATCCTGCCACCTGTTGGCAGCTCAGCAGCTGCTCAGCTCGGGCCTGGAACCGAACCGCTGTTGCTCAGAGCTCGCACTCTTGAGCGAGCTCTTAACCAAATGAGCCACTCGGCTAGCCTCCATTAGCTTTTTTAAAGCTAGCAAAACTTGTACTTTTAAAGGTGCTATCTAGTCATTTGGGTTTAACATTATATATATATAGAGAGAGATACAAACAAATTATAGTTGGGGAAGGGTAGGAACATACCAGCAGCACTCACTGGGCTTCGCTGAACCATGCTAATCTTTATGCTATCTTGTATTTATCCAGAACTGAAAAATACGCAAAGCGATCTTAAAAGATATTCTCTCATTTGGTCTGACAGTACTGCTCTCTTGAGCAATCAAAGAAAAGAAAAAAGAGAAGTAAAAGAAGAGAAACGATGCCTGAAGTTAAAAATCTCAGGTGTAGAGTTCAGAAGCACAATTCAGACCTTGGATTTTGGTAAATTGAGGTTTTAAAAAGAATCACTCTAAAAACACCAAGAGGGTTGTGCCTGGTTGGAGTGTGGAAAAGGTCAATGACCTGCTCAGGGGCTCAAAATTCATTTCTCTGAATGAGTAAATTAAACCACAACATGTGGAGAAACGTCCTGCGAATGTTCAAACTGTGAGGCGGCCCCATTCAACCTTTACATGGCAGACAGTTGCGCTGCTTGAGTGGTTGGGAGTAATTACACTTTTAGGAAAAGCCCCAAACAGCTTCAGGAGCCAAACAAAACATAGTAAGTACATACTTTTAAGTAGAAGATTCTAGGGGGCTGGATGGGGGAAGTGTCCGCTAAGCCTGTGAACAGGGTCAATCTTATAATATGCAGAGACCCTCAGTACAACTACAGCGAATTAATTAATTAATATCCTACAACTACTTCCTCCATGTGAGACAAAAACAGAGGAAAACGCTCCCCACATTTGTTTCCAACACTTCCTCTGGAGTAAAGTCAGAGGGCTGGTTATCACAAGGAAACCGCTCTGGACATAGAGGAAGTTCATGTTTAAATTTAATAATACTGCAGGGCACCCACACCTAGAGTGTCTGTCTCCAGAAAGCCAAGTAAATGAGGACTCAGTAATTTTAAAGCAGGTCAGTAAACTTTGGGAAGGTAAACAGAAGTGTTGTTGGGTAAAGTGGACTCAAGAGCCCAGGATGTAAGTCGCCGGTGTTCCCATGGAAGCCTCAGGAACAAGCACAGGGACCCGAGTTACTCGCCACGTCATTCGGACAACACCCCAGTGAGGAAAGCTAGCAATGCTTTAGAGATGGGAGACAATGGAGCATGCAGACAGTAGGGTGCATACCTTGGTCACAGTGAATTAGGGGCTAAACCTGGGTAAATAGTTGGGACTCCCAAACGAACCACAAGCCACGTGCTATATTATTACCAAGCAAGGTCTTAAGAGAATTTTGCTCTCATCTGTTGTTCCTAAGACCTCATGGGTGCTTAAGGAACGACTCAAATCCTGACAATCCTTGAAAACTTTATGGTTCCCCATCTTGGCTGTACGGGAGAGAGACCAAACGACCTTTTGAAGAGTCTGATGCCCAGGCCACACCCCAGCCCAATTAAATCTGAATCTCTGGAGTAAGACCCAGGCGTCAGTTTCTCTTAACGCTGCAGAAATACTTTCAATGTACAGCCAGAACTGAGAGCCACACGTTTGGTCCTTAATAATATATATATTTAGAGTTTTATCAGGTTAAGAAAACTTTATCATATGCACAGGTGCCTTCAGGGATGAGCTAATCATAAAGCCCCCATGCAAGGACTTCCTGCTAAAATGAAATGTAGGTAATTACACGCACTCATTTTCAACTGTGAGACAAAATGCCTACGAGCCCAATCCACATATGCCCCCTCCTCTGACTGACTGCGTAACGTGCTAAGGAAGGGCAGGTCTCTGAGTCGAACGACCTGTTATTAAAGGGAGACTTTGTGGCTCAAGAGAATGGACATTGTGGATGCAGGTATTTAAGCGAACTGGGAGTTGGAAAGTCCTGCTCACCTGGGCTCTGTGTGGGGGCCAAGAGCGACGTGGCGTCGGGGCACGGCTCTATTGCGCACCAGCTTTCTCGGTTTATCTGCAGGAAAAGAAACAGACTGGGTTTCAGACAGTGAAGTAACGTGGCACGATGTCACAGCCGCTGCAAGTGCGCCCGCTGTATGGTACCATCACTCCTCTATCTTTTTCTTTACAACTTTACTGCAGAGCAGGTAAAATTATTTTAAGAAAAAAAACAAAACAAAACTTTTCACAATACAATCAAGGCAATGGATACTCAATGCTCTAAAGAGATCGTCAATAAAAGTCAGGCATATAAAAGCAATTTTTATTAAATTAAATAATAAATGTATTATATTTTCATGAAATTTAAAATATAATTTAAAAAAATTAACCACTAGAGATTTCAACAGCCCTCTCTCAGTAACTGATAAAACAAGTAGACACAAAATCAGTACGGATATAGAAAACTTGAAAACCATTATCAACCAATGGGTCTAACAGACACATACTTCACCTAACAAGAGCAGAATACACATTCGTTTTGAATACACATGAAAGATAGGACCGTATTCTGTGGCATAAAAAAAGTCTCAAACTTGAGGATTAAAGTCATACAAAGTATGCTCTTTGACTAAAACAGTACAAAATTTAGAAACCAAAACCAACAGGATATCTGGGGGGAGGGGGGGAGAGAGGAAGAAACCCCAAATACTTAAAAAATTATTTTTAAAAAATTCATGAATCAAAGATGGAATCTTAAGGGAATATTAGGTATTCAATATTAGAAAATATTTTAAAAGCTATTTAAAAATAAAAATAACATGTATAAAAATTTGTGAGATACAGCTAAAACAGTTCTTAGAACAAAATTTATAATATTAGATGCCTATATTATTAGAAAAGGTCTCAAATCAATGAACTAAGCTACCACCTTAAGAAACTAGAAAGTCGGCATATTAACCCACAGCAAATAGAATGATGAAACAAAACAAACAAAACAAAAATCAAAGAGCAGAAATCAACGAAATAGAAAATAGAGAAACAATAAAAACAATAAAACCAAAAGCTGGTCCCCTGAAAAGATCAGTAAAACTCTATCTAGTCCAACCAAGAACAAAAGAAAAGTTACAAATTACCAGTATCAGAAATGTAAGGGGTACATCATTACAGATCCTATAGACATTGAAAAGATAACAAAGGAATATTATGAACAACTTCACTGCGTATCATGATAACCCAGATTAGAGAAATTTTCCATAGATGTTTTTGAGGAGCATAAAAAGCCCAAACGTGTCCAGAAGCATAAACTGAAGAGAGAATATAATGGGAGATATGCCTACAATGAATCTAGGCTTTATTCTCTACGAATGAGGGAACCCCCCCTCCCCCGCACCCAATTACATAAGCAAGGGAGTGAAAAGATCAGTATTACAGTAGGAAAATAACTCCAGACGTGTATAGATAAAACAGGACAGCAGGGAGGAGGGACGCATGGGGCACCCATAAAGCCCGGTTAGGAGGAGCCTGAACTGGTCCAGTAGAGGCGTGTGCACCTGGACTGGGGAGATGTCCTCTGAGGCACAGAGCAGCCGATCATCAGCTGGTAGAAAGCGGAAGCCACAGAAATAAGAGAGAACGAGGGGTCCAAGATCCACAACGGACGTAGGGAATCCAGAGGGGAAGAAGACAATGATGCATTCTATTTGACTATGATAAGGTTGAGGTGTTTAGATGATGCCTTTCAAATGGTTCAACAGTCATGGAATCAGGGAGAAAGGCCGGGATCAGCTTCATTTGTTCTTGAGTAACGGGTGGAAAGAGTGTGTGAGAGCCAGGGCAGAACACACACAGACAAGACACCCTGAGGGCAACATTCATGTGCCATCATTTTGCAGAGGGAGTAGCTTGGAAAGCTCATGCTTTGCGGCTTCTTACAAACATAAACAGCACAAAAGAGAGCGTGTATTAAGCAAATGCAAATAAATCTAAGCCACAATGAGATATCACATCACACCCATTAGGATGGCCATTGCTAGACAAACAAACCAAAACAGAAAATAACGAGTGTTGGTGGCGATGTGGAGAAGTTGGAACCCTTCTGTTTTGCCGGTGGGACTGTAAAATGGTGCAGCCACTGCAGAAAACACTACGGTGGTTCCTCCAAAAATTAAACAGAATTACCATGTGACCCAGCAATCCCACTTCTGGGTATATACCAAAAAGAATGGAAAACAGGGACTTGAACAGGTATTTGCACACCAGCATTCACAGCAGCATTATTCACAATAGACAAAAGTTGGAAACAACCCAAATGTCCATTGACAGATGAACGAATAAGCAAAATGGTGTATATAAATAATAATAGAATATTAATTAGTCAGCCTTAAAAAATGAAATTCTGACACATGCTACACCACAGATGAATCTTGAAGACATTACGATGAGTAAAATAAACCAAAGGACACAAAAGGACAAATACTGTGTGATTCTAATTATATAAGGTACCTAGACTACTCAAATTCATAGATAAAAAAATAGAATGGCGGGCTAGCCAAGTGGCGTATTGGTTAAGACCTGCCTTGGGATGCCAGAGGGCCCCGGTTCGGATCCCACATAT